CACAAAATGAGTGCGGTTTTTATGCCTCAACCGAAAGATTATATTAGATTGTCTAACTTTTTTTCTACTTTGTCTACATTATAAGTATATGGTGTACTTCATGTGGTGGAAACCAATTCTACCATCTAAAAAGGTGAACGTTTGCAAGATATTTCATTCAGGACCACCTGGCCTAGTGTCTACAATCGTGTCACATCCGAAGCCACAACTGTCCCATCGACCACTACTGAAGAAGAAACCACTATTACTACTACTGATCCCACTACAACTACTACGGAAGAGTGGGTTAAATTTGTTTGTATAAGACTTGAATTTAGGTAAATTTGTCCCATTTTAGAACAACCACCACGACCACTGCTGTTCCAAGCACTACAACCAAAACGGTAAACCCATGGGCACGAATTTGGTCCACTACTGCTGCACCAGAGAACACTGTAAGCGTCAGTGTACTTCAAGCCGGAAGTCTTCGTCCACTTCGGGTAAGTTTGATCTATTTCCGCCCATGAGGATAACTATGTCCTTTTTGAAAACTATCATCGCAGGATGGCCAGTTTGAGACTGTAGGAGCTATCACGCTGATCAACGATAATGGATTCCTTGTTCTTGTTGATACTGGAGCCTCAAGTGATACGGAGCGACTACTTCAGAGTATGTTTTGCAGTTTCTACCGTAATCCTTTAGTAACGATACAGTACCCCCGCAAGAGTTTCTTTCCAGGTTTGGCCAAGGAAGGTGTTACATTGGATCAGATCAACACCGTCGTCATTACTCACGGTCATCCCAGCCATATGGGTAACATGAACTTCTTCGCACAGAAACCAATTCTGTTCCATTCGATGGAGTACATTGGCCGTCATGTGACCCCAACGGAACTTCGAGAGGTAGGGTAGAGGCTTCTTGTGGGATTAATTATTACCATACTCTCAAGCCAATTTTTAGCGCCCATACCGCAAACTTTCGCCTCATGTCGAGTTGTGGAAGACCCCTGGACATACACAGCACGATTTGACTGTCCTGATTCACGATGTGGCTAGCTATGGCACGATGGCTATTGTTGGGGATCTGATTCCGACAGAGGCTCTCATCAGCGAAAGGGTATGACCTAGAAATCCTGATATATATATATATATATATATATATATATATATATATATATATATATCCCACAAAACTTCGTG